ATGTTGGCGCTGTGTTTTGATGACGGTGGTGGTTGTGTTTGCGATTCCGGTGGTTTCGTTTGCCGTTCCGGCGAGGATATTTCTTTGCGACTGTTTCTTGGTGGTGGCATCGTCGTCGAGTGAGATTCGCTTAGAGATTTTTTTCACAGCTTGAGAGATTCCAAAAACTCTATTAACAAGGAAATGAAGAAATTAAAGTCTACTTCTTTTTGGAAATTTGGAAAGAGAAAAAAAGGGTAAAATTTTACTGGAATAATGAAACAGAGCGTGTGATGAGTACGTCGGTTCTCTAGTTTTTTTCATTATGATTTTGTGTTTAGTATTTAATGATTTATTAAGATTTCTTTCAAACAAAAATGAAGCAAACATGATTATTATTATTTTTTCCTTATTGTTGGAAAAGAGATTAGTTTTCAGTTTCATATTGGATTCCGAGAATTGAACATTTTGACTTTAGAGTTGAAGTTATAGATTTTATTTTAATTAGAGTGAATTAAGCACAAAACAAAATTAAAAAAGAAAATCGATGTCCTATAAAACCAGCAGAAAATGTTGAATAAATTGAGTGAAAATATGTCATATAATGGAGCCAATGAAAGCAATAAGGTGGAGAGAAATTAGAGAATACTTTTAGCTTTGGATAAAACTGCCGAAGAAGAAACAGAGCTATGAGTTAGTCATAGAAAGATCAAAGCTTCTCTCTGCTTTTTCATGTCATCTTTACCCAAAATACTTGCAAACATAAATGCGATGCAATTTTCGCAAATCGGTTTAGTTGAGTCTCACTCGAGGCTAGCTGGACAAAGTCTCCTTTCGATGACATCTCTATCACTTGGTAGTCAGTAGTCACTTACTATCAATTAGCCAAAGGCACATGAATCTAACACCAAGAGAATGTCAAAACCTTTTTAGGCTGATCAAGGACAATATTGTCACCAATAGTTGTTGCAAGAACAAATTAAGACCACTTGCAAAGTGATGAAAGCAAACTCTATTCCTTACAATAATTTCCGGATCGAATGCTTTTGATGCACATTTTGTAAACGAATTGACAATCTGTGCAAACTCTAAGTATCTTTGTGATTTTACCGAGGAAACGAATACATGACTTCTCTTTATTCTCTCTCTCTCAAAGGATGTTGTGCCACTGACTCTACATTTGTGCAGCAGTACAATTTCAAAGATATGGCTAATGTGTATACTTATATGCAAAAGAGATTTAAATAAATAAAAAACTTGTTTGTTGTGAAATTTGTTTTTGAAAAAGTGTTGTGAAATTTTTCAAAGAGAGTTTCTGTCTTTTGTGACAAATCTATATATTGCAAACTCACTTTTTATGTCTGACGTGGTCAAATTATACACGAATGGTGAAGATTTGATCGGATAGAATATTAAGTTTTATTACAATTTTTATTTAGCGAAAGGGTTTGTTCCTTAAAGGCAACTATGTATATATCATTCTTCTCACCTAGCTCCTTTTAAGTGAACAAACCTATGTTTAACAAGTTACAAGTTATGGAGGACGTTCAAATCTGCTATATGTGATGATACTGCTTTTTACTCTTTGGGTTTGGTTTATTTTTGGTATTTCAACACATACACAATTTTATGACAAACTTTACGAGGACTAAGCAGTCATAAACAATGTAATTTGAGAAAGATCACCAAAATCTGATTTCAAAAGCTACAAGAGGATAAAAAAAAAAACAGAGAAATTTTTAGCTACTCTTGTTCATTAACTAAACAAAAAACTCCCTAATTAATAATTGAATAATCTAGTTCAAAGAATAACGTAATTGAATCAACTAATCATTGTCGAGAAAATCGCATGCCCTAGTTATATAAAGAAAGCTATTATTGCATCTAGAAATGTTAATATGAGTTGAAACTTATGGGTCTAAATGGGACATGTTAAGGCGGACTTATAA